ATATTTCCTTGTGTTACCAGGTAGATTTTATATATATTTTTTTCTCACCCGTTACGTGACAAAATTTCATTGGACTCCGCAAATAACTCTACACGTTGAGTCCTAATGCAATATTTTCTCATACATAAGAGCTGGTTGGTTATACGTAAATGCCCCTTGAAACTATATCATCTTCCTATTTGACTATATTTTTTCATTATATACTTTAATCTATATATATAATGCACACAGCAGCATTAAATGACTTAACTTTCAATAATAACTCCACAGATCTTGCTACTGCAGACGCAATTAATTATCATAAACAGCTTCAGACAGCTAAATTGTCGGCCAAATCAAATCAAGATCTAATGCAAAGAACCCTAAATATTCCTATTCACCGCAATAAAATAGATAGATTCCCTCATAAATCCAGTTTTAAAATTTGTACTTTTAAATTTATACCACATATTAATAAATTTAATCTATTCTTAAAAATTCACTTTTTCATAACTCGAGTCAAATCAGAAAAAAACTTTAGTTAAAAAATTCTAATTAAAATTTAGTTAATATGAGTTCCAAATTTCGTAAATTTATTGTAAAAATGAGAAAATAAATCAATTTTTATATTAAATTTATTCCAAAATAATTTTACTGAATTTTAAAATTTATTCTTTATATATATTTTAAAATAATATATATATCTATATATATATTATCTTACCTACTCATGAGTTGGTATATTTTATTTTTTAAGACAAAACAATAGTATTTTTGATGTGATATAAATGATTTTGGTGGTATGAATGAAAATAAAATAAATAAATTTTAAGTATTAGATATGTGAAAATATATGATTTGGGAGGTATATTGGTATTGGGCTGCAAATGAGCCGAGCTTGAGAGAGCTTAGGCTTGGGTTGTATTCAATTCGTTCAAAATTGGCTCGTGTTCAAGATCGCTCATGAACATCGTGTTCGTGTTCGACTAATTTATATATTTTGTTTGTGTTCCGCTTGTATTCGATGTAAATTTGACTGGTTTAAATTAACAATACAAATATATGTAGATTGTTGAATTCAAACCCACATCATTCTTATGCAATAAAAAACACAAAACATGTCCACACGAGCTATGCTGATTTAAACTTAGATATAAATAAATATATTATATTATTATATAAATAATATATATAATTTCCTTACTTTGAGCTAAATCAAGCCGAACGCGGCCTAACAAAGAACTGTTCGTGTTCAGCTCATTTACAATTCAAGTTTAAAAAATATGTTTGTGTTTGCTCGCTTAACAAACGATCCGAACACACACTACTTAAAGAGCTGAATACGAGCTATTCGTGAACAACGAGCCTTTTTTATGGCCCTAATTGGTAAGTATGCAACAACCCCCCAAGATTTATGCAATTAAAAAAAAATTGCAGCATGATAATAATAAACATGATTGTAATCCTCACCCCTTAATTAATTCTAACTAATAAGGTAACGTAGTGGAAAGGGTTATAATTTACCGCTTGCATTGAAGCCTATATTTATGATCCTGAGACAAAAGGGATCGCAGGCAAGGAATCTGGAAGAGAGAAATGCAGACTTTGGCCGACCAAATATGCTGCAATTCCAGCAGTAAAACCAGCAAAAGCAAAGCCGCTTACCTGATACAATGTTATTATATTTAGTTAGCTAAAGCTAATGAAGCAGATGCATTTGAAGCACATGTTCAGTGAGATCAAATAGAAAATTGAAAGATTTACATACATTCCCCACTCAATCCCTATGTATTTAAATGTCTAGCAACTAAAATTTGCTTTTTTTTTTACATGTTTAGCACCTAAATCTTTCGTCTCACATCAAACATACCACTATTTAAAATAACACTTTTTCATGCATAGATAAGGTGGTATATATGTAAAAATTGAAAGTTTAGATGTTAGATCTGTAAATATATAACTAAGGCGTAATGTAAATTTTCCAATAAATTATTCAGATAAAAATGCAGCAGGAACAGCAAAAGAAAAATTAAGAAAATTTCGATATCAAAAAAAAAAAGGGTAAATTTCTTGCAACATTAAAAGACTTTACTAATATATCCGGCTTAGTCAATAAAATTGAAAAGGAAGATCTGCATACATATCACCTAATTCCTATGCATTCACATATCTAACACCAAAACTTCAATTTTAATACATATGCCACTTTAGCTATGCGTGAAATTGTCATATGTTAATATCCAAATGAGAAAAGTGTCAATAATAGTCCAAGGACTGTTTACATGAAGTCCTTTTAGTCCTAGAATCTACTATCAAATCAGTCCTGATACTCTCTAAATTGTGGCTGAAATAGTCCCCATGACTACTTCAGTCCATACAGAAAGAGTACGGGGATTAAATTGATAATGTTTAGACTCTAGGACTAAAATGACAGGAGTCCGGATACTATTTTGAAACATTTCTCATAGTCTAAAGTGCTATTTTCATAACTTGCAAATGCATACCTTGCGAAGATACCAAAAGAAATCCACCTTCTCCATTCCCATAAATGCAACTCCGGCCGCAGATCCAATAATAAGCATTGAACCTCCGGTACCCGCACAAAAGGCAACAAGCTGCCAAAAATCAGCATCTCGAGGGAAAGAAGTAAGGTCGTACATTCCCATTGTTGCGGCGACGATAGGAACGTTGTCGATAACAGCTGAAACCACTCCTATTGCAATAGCAATCAATTGCGCACTTGGTATATGCACATCAAGGTAATTAGCCAGCTCCCTCAGTATTCCAGCAGCCTCCAAGCTATAGAAGAATATCAAGAATCAATAAACACATCTTTAGAGCGAAATATTCAAGGGCTTTTACAGATATATCACCAAATTTCTTTGTATTTACGTATCTCTCTCTCTCTCTCTCTCTCTCTCACACACACACACACACACACACAAAGATATATACCACACAAATTTGTCATATCACATAAAAAATACCACAATTTTAACTTTTGAAAAGCAAAATACAACATTTCACGCACAAATAGGGTGGTATGAAAGTAAAATTTGAACTTTAGGTGTCAGATATGTAAATGCATAAGAATTGAGTGCTATTTATGTAATCTTCAAATATTTTTTCAGTATTTCTAGTTTCTGTAGCTTTTTTTCCTGCACTGTTAAGGGGTTCTTCTAAGTGGTTATGTGGTCCTATCGATGGCCATTTTAGTCTACATTTATATAAGTGATAAATCAGTCCCCAGGCTCTTACAATAGGGGCTGGAATGGATATCCGATGAAATTATATTAGTCCATATGCCTAAATTGACATTTTGATGTACTATGGGACTAAAATGACCCCCTCTCTAATGAGTCAAGGGACTATTTTGACAATTTTCCCCTTATAGAAAAGCTATGATTTTAGATTATCTAGCCCTAGTACTAACTTGAACTTAGTTAAATGCCCCTATTTATTTTTCCTATAAATAGCAGAGTGCCATCTTTATGAGATCAGAAGAATTATGGTTGTAATTACAGACAATAAAACCATAATTAAATCTACAACAGCATCAACATGACATAATCTTCAATTTAGCGAATTTGTATAAAATTCTCAGTGTTTTTATAATCTTCTTTTATGTTTTCTAATCTTTTTGGCACTCATTAACTGTTGTGAGATATGTACTTCCTGACATAGAAATGAAACGCAAAAAACACAAGCAAACACAGATCGTTTATGTGGTTCGATCCAACTGGATCTACGTCCACAGGAGGGAATCGATCAAATAGTTCACTAAGGCAAAAGAAATGGAGAATACATAGCTTATACATAGAGATGAGTCATCATCTTCCTTCTATGGCCTCCCTCTCAAGCGACACCTAAATACAAGGCCTCAAGATGCTCTCTAGCTATTCTCTCGTCCTTTGTGGTAGCTTAAGATCTCTTCCTTTGCTCTCCTAAGCCTCACACCCTCCTCACACATAGAAGCTAGGCCTCACACCCTCTCTATTTATAGAAGCAAGGGAGTGGTAGGTGGGAGGTAGGTGAGCGGTATGTAAGCGGTAGTTGAGATGTGGTAGGTGAGCGGTACCACATTACAAA